GTTTAGTAATAATTGGCTGATTTTTATGATGAAGGATAATTCTAATGCAAATCTTTTTATATAAATACCTGAAGAATTCAAAAGAAGGACATTAATTTTAAAAGCATTTCTGGGAACTTTCTGTTGTCTGGACTTATTTATCTTTAACTGCAAATGCTGGAACTGTTCAGAAAACCATCAAAATAGCTTTCTATATCTATTTTTAGAGTTTAAAAGTATGACATACATATATAGTCATATGTAATTAATATATATATAATATAAATAAAATATAATTTCTACTATATAATAATGGTACTTGAGAGGCCAAAATTGACCACTACTAAATTCAGGCCTAACAAATTCTGTTGTGGGAAGCTACAACTAAAAGAGAATGCCTTGGCCTATGGAATGAAAGGAAAATATTTCATTATTCTTGAAGGGTTAAAGCTATAAGGCTTCTTTTCCTTCTTACCCTTTCCTTTGTCTTGGTATTATTTCTTTATCATTCTTCTTTACTTACCTTTCTTTCCCCATCATGGTTTTTATGTTTTCAAAACTTCGCTCAAATTTACCAGCTGTAGAAACCTCACCTTGACTACCTCAGTTTGTCTCTGCCCCTTCAATGCTTCTGTACTAGGCTTTGCCCTTTTCATGGCAAAATATGACAGCCTTCCTTTTTGTGAAAATGTTCAAATCATATCAAGGAGTATGTCTTTCCAGTAAGACCACTACCATCCAAATATAAAAATGTTTGTTGCTAGTATTTGGCCTGATAAAGAGCTTGTACCAGAATATAAACTAGCCACATCACTAACACAGGTTTAGTTCACGTGACTTTTTTTTCTCATAGCAAGACTTTCCTGAAAAAGAAATTAGGGCAAGCTTTATTAATTGCAAACTGGCACTTTAATGAACTAGACTATAGGGATGTTAGTGGATACTTTTTAATCTTCCTGTGAGAAGGGTGAGTAGGATAATTGTGATAGATGAGGTGACTGGTTGGTGGTGAGCTGTGACATTCACAGTGTTGGATAACTGCTAATAAGAGGTGACAGTTTTGAGTGTTCACTGTGTGTCAAGGCCTGTTCTATGCAGCTTTTATGAATGAGCTCACTTACACCTCACAATTGCCATTTTCCCCATTCTACAGATGAAAAAAGTGTGGTTCTTGAGGCCAGGCACGGTGGCTCACACCTGTAATCCCAGCACTTTGGGAGGCCAAGGTGGACAGATCACTTGAGGTCAGGAGTTTGAGACCAGCCTGGCCAACATGGTGAAACCCCATCTCTGCTAAAAATACAAAAATTTGCCAGGTGTGGTGGCACACACCTGTAATCCCAGCTGTTTGGGAGGCTGAGGCACAAGAGTCGCTTGAACCTGGGAGGTGGATGTTGTAGTGAGCAAAGATTGTGCCATTGCACTCCAGCATGGGTAATGGAGCAAGGTTCCATCTCAAAAAAAAAAAAAAAAAAAAAAAAAAAAGTGAGATCCTGAGAAATTAATTGGTCCCAAACCTTACACTTAGTAAGGGGCTAATTCAGATTTCAAACCCAGATTTGTCTGAAACCAAAGTCTATACCTGGATCTATTCTGTCCCACAGAGCTTTCTGCAGTGAAAATGTTCTGTCTTCTGTTTTCAAAATCGTAGCCATTTACCACATGTGGTTTTTGAATACTTGCAGTGTGTCTGGCTCAAGTGAGAAAGTGAATTTCTAGTTTTATTTTAATTAATTTACAGATAAATTTAAATAGCCACATGTGGTTAATGGCTACTGTGATCAATAACACAGGTCCGGAGACTTTAAAATGTTGCTAACTACAGGCTAATCACAGGAAACCCAGTCCAGGAAAGTATATTCATGTAAGGTCTAGTTTTTCTCCATTGCTAGAGTTTCTCAGACATTGTAAAAAAACCAAAACCAAAACCAAAAAACAACAACAACAGCAGGGGTACTATCTTAAATTGCTGCTGCATTGGAGGTAACAGAATTCAATTAAAAAAATTATTTACAGTCTCCTTTGGTTCAGAAACTGTGTCATGCTTTGGGCATTCTAAATGAATTTTGTCTTCCAAGAGTTCATCGTCTAAGTAGCTTTATGGAGAATGTCATAGTTCTTTTCCCAAATTTTCTTCATAAATGATTAGACAAAGTATTTAAATCTGTGCTATATAATATTTTGTGGTATTTTGATTTTAATTTTATGAATAGATAATACATTCCCATGGTTTAAACTTCAAACGGTTCAAAGCGCCTTCCAATTCCCTTCTATAGGTGCAACCAGTGCTGTCATTTTCTAGTGTAATGTTTTGTGCAGACACACAAAAATGCACATATGTATTTAACCATCCCCCTTTCTGAAACCAAATAAACACTGTTGAGTTACCTTGTTCTTTTTACTTAAAAAATACACCTTGGATATATTTTCATGCTAGTATTAAAAAAAACTTCCCATTCTTTTCTATGGATGCATTATATTACATTGCATGCATGTATTATAATTTACTTAAACAGTCCCCTACTGATGGACATTTAGGTTTTTTCCATTCTTTGCTATTATAGAAAATATTCACATGAGTAATTTCAATACTTATATTCTAAAGTGAGCTAGAGTGACTGTATTCCTGTTTCCCAGACCGTATTCCACAGAACACAAGTCTCATGAGATGTTCAATATCCAAAAGGGTTCTATAGTTAAATAACTTCAGTTAACTCTGGGTATTTGTTGATGTTTCGTAGTGTACACTGTCAAATTAAAAGAAATCTTGCAATAATCTGCTTCGATGTAATCCAAGTGTTTCCCAACCTCACATTTTCTCAAGGAACAGCATACACTATTGTTTTGGGTCAGGTTCCTGGGAAGCAGACTGAGATAGAAATGTTCATGTGAGAGGCTTACTGGGGCATGTTCTAAAGAACAACACCTGATGGAAGTGAGGGCAGATCAAAACAGGGTGGGCAGAGGGAGAAGTTGGACTGTGATGCAGTTGCAACAGTGGCCTCACAGGATCCCATGGGGAGCCTTCTAGAGGCAGGATGTCCCTTTGGAGATGTTCCAACTCTGGAAGGGAAGCAGGCCAGATTCCTGGAAGGGAGAGCCACTCCCTGATGCTAGACAGCTTTCTTCCATTGGAAGCATTTCTCAGGAGGGGCTCAGCTGTGAGCTATCAACTGGAACAATGAATTTCATTGTTCACTACAACTCTGTATAGAATCTTCAAATTTTTAAAGGAGATGCTTATCAGTTCTTAGAATATCTTGCTGGTCACAGCAAGTCATTCGGTCTCCCGGGACTCAGTTTCTTGCTGTATGAAATATGTATACTGAACTGAAAGTTCTTTAGAGTTTATAACATTCTTTGCATCCATTTCCATTTCAGTATGTGCGAATTAAATTCTAAGGTCAGACATAAGTTTTCCCAAAGACATACTCGGCTATATAGAGGCCAATAATGTGGATAGATAGGCCCTAATTTTTTAATATTTCTGCTGTGCAGTTATGGAAAAAACGTGCATTGTTATACTTTCAAGTATATGTTCCTTAACTTGGGGCAGAATCTTGGGGCAGACTCTTGGGGCAAAATTGAATAAGAGAGTTGAATTAGAGCTTTTTATTTTAAAAATATTTTGGTTACCTCTTGTTAGGTGTTTGCTGAAGAAGCTAGCCTGCTATCTTCCTAGGAACATTGGCCCATATTGATAAAATTGAAGGAATATACTGGCATGAGGTGTAAAGGAGAGAGGAGCATAACTAACTTTAAAGCACATTCTTAGAAGCTCTTATTTATTCTCCTTTTAGAAGCTCAGGAAGCAAACAGGTGTAGATAAACAGCGATAGCAATTTCTCAAGGACCATCCGTTTGGGAATCAGATGGGTCTAAATGCGCATCCTATGTCTTTTATGGTACTTGCGAATTTTATTCTCATGCTCCTGCAGGATTCATCAATAGTGGTTGTTATTGATGGAAGCTTGTTTCCTGGCAGGAGAGGGAAAAGGGCTCAGGGAATGGGCCTCTCTTAAATGTGCCTAGTAGAGTTGATGAAGGTTCATAAAGAGAATGGAAAATATATCCAAGAAAAAGAAAATGTTCTTTTTGGATAAGGAAATGGGAAGTGAAATCAAATTTAAAGCAGTGGGTATTATACAAATATGATGCAGAGAAGCAAACAAAAAGGAAAAAAAAAAGAAGAAGCAATTTTAAGATTGGTGGCTGTATGGGTGTAGGATCAACTTTTAAATTGAATGTAAGTTTTTCTAAAAAACCTTAATCTTTTTCTTCAACACAAAGCTTCATAAAGATTCTTGGATCATACTGAAATTTGGTTAAGATGTTTCTTAATTTATTTTATAAAATAAAAGTTATACTACTTTACTTTTTAAAATGGCATAATAAGTTGGATTACCCTTATAAAAACAGAAGTTATACTATTTTTAGGTTTTCCAATCATATAGTCCGTTGACATGCTTATACCCCCCTCAAATCACATATACCTTAAAATATTATACTATATTGTGATGTTGTGGTTTACTACTTCATATTTGAGTGGAGACTTTGCCACTTGACTTTTAGAATAAACGTTTACAACTTATTTTCAACACCTTCTTTAGACTTGGTCAGTAACTTGATATCAAACAAATACATTTGACATCACATGTGCTTTGTGCTATTTTGTGATAAAGAGAAAAACATTTTACTAAAGAGCTATATGAAGCATTATAGGTTTTACAAAATGATATATGATATTTTTTTCTCCAAAATGATATACGATATTTTTTTCTCCAAAATGATGTAGTTCTAGTCAGCAAGGACATGAGTTAAATTATGAATTTATGAACTCTGAGGATTATAGAAAAGATTTCTCTAAGAAGTTCAGTCTTGACTTATATAGTTTTCTCCATATGAGTCTTCCTGTTTTTTTATAGCATGATCAGGTATGTAGGTAACCATAAATCTGAGGAAGGGAGGATTACTCAATACATAATTATTAATCCTTTTATCCCTACCTTTGACTCTTACAGAATCCATTCCAATATATGGCCATGTGGCTCTTTGGAGCAGTGTTCCATCATGTTCCACGATGGTGACATCATACGGAGCACAGAAATCAATGTTAGCAGATAACCAGCCCATATAAAATCGAGTAAGTAAAGTTTTAAAAATTGTATCATGGCAATATAGATACTTTTATGTAATAGCATAACTAATAATAAGGAAGATGTGGCAAAACAGGTGAAGTTATATATACCCAGAACTTTTAAAATGAGCATCTTGGTTTAAAAAATATACCGTTTGTTATTGCATGCTTACAGTATATATTTGAGGGCACAGAATATTGCACATAATTTTTTTTTCTGAAAAGAACCACTTAGTAAATATTCTATGCTTTGTGAATCAAATGATCACTGTCACAACGAGTCAACTCTGCCCTATTGCTTGAAAGCAGCCATCATCGTGTATGGGCATGGCTGTGTCCCACCAGAACTATTTACAAAAACAGGCAGCAGATGAGGGTTGGCCTCTGGGTCATAGTTTGTCAATTCTAGGCATATAAAATGACAGAACTGTGCATATCACTTTCTGTATATTACTGGATTAATTTTGAAAGAACTTGGGTGCTTAAAATTAAATAATAAATGTAATCAAACATCTAATTTTTGAATGAGTTTACTAATGTAAGGATATTAGAAGGTAATGTAGATTAGATTTTTTAAAAGACTAATTGAGACTTTTGAGGAGTATTTTACAGAAATGTAAGGTCAAGTTCAGTCTCGATAACTAACAAAATATAGTAAGGTATAACTTGATGATGGAGATATGTTCTAAGAAATGTATCGTTGTACAATTCTGTTGTGGGAACATCCTTGGCTGTACTGACACAAACCAAGATGGTATAGCCTATACATGTCCAGTCTATATGGTATAGCTAATTGGTTCTAAGCTACAAACCTGTACAGCATGTTACTATACTGAATACTGTAGGCAATTGTAACACAATGGTATTTGTGTATCTAAACATAGAAAAGATACAGTAAAAATACGGTATAAAAGATAAAAAAATATATACCTGCATAGGACACTTAGGATAAATAAAGTTTACAATACTGGAAGTTGCTCTGGTTGATTCAGTGAGTGAGTGGTGGGTGAATGTGAAGGCCTAGGACATTACTTGACACTACTGTAGACTTTATAAACACTGTACACGTAGGTCATGCAAAATTTATTAAAATATTTTTCTTCTTTTAATAATAAATTCACTTTATAACTTTTTAAAGTTAAGAAACAAACATTTTCTTTAACTTTTTGACTTTTGTAATAACACAACTTAAAACACAAACATATTATACAGCTGTACAAAAATGTTTTTCTTTATATCCTTATTCTGTAAGCTTTTTCCTGTTTTTAAAATTTTTAAATTTTTACTTTTTAATTTTTTTTTGTTAAAAACTAAGACATAAACCCACACATTAGCCTAGGTCTACACAGAGTCAGTATCATCAACATCACTGTCTTTCTCCTCCACATCTTATCTCACTGGAAGGTCTCCAGGGTCAGTAACACACATGGAGATGTTATCTCCTATAATGTCAATGCCCTCTTCCTGGAATATCTCTGGAAGGAACTTCCTGAGGCTGTTTTACAGTTAACTTTTTTTTATATAATTTTTTTTATTATATTTTAAGTTCTAGGGTACATGTGCACAGCATGCAGGTTTGTTACATATGTATACATGTGCCATGTCGTTGTGCTGCAGCCATTAACTCATCATTTACATTAGGTATACCGCCTAATGCTATGCCTCCTCCCTCCCCCCACCCCATGACAGGCCCCTGTGTGTGATGTTCCCCTTCCTGTGTCCAAGTGCTCTCATTGTTCAATTCCCACCTATAAGTGAAAACATGCGGTGTTTGTTTTTATTGTCCTTGTGATAGTTTGATGAGAATGATGGTTTCCAGCTTCATCCATGTCCCTACAAAGGACATGAACTCATTCTTTTTTATGGCTGCATAGTATTCCATGGTGTATATGTGCCACATTTTCTTAATCCAGTCTATCACTGATGGACATTCGGGTTGGTTCCAAGTCTTTGCTATTGTGAGTAGTGCCACAATAAACATACGTGTGCATGTGTCTTTATAGCAGTATGACTTATAATCCTTTGGGTATATACCCAGTAATGGGATGGCTGGGTCAAATGGTATTTCTAGTTCTAGATCCTTGAGGAATCGCCACACTGTCTTCCACAATAGTTGAACTAGTTTACAGTCCCACCAACAGTGTAAAACTTAACTTTTAAGAAAATATAAGTAAAAGGAGTACACCACACATAATGATTAAAAAAGTATAGTATAATAAATACATAAACCAGCAACATAGTTATAATCGTGTTATGTACTGTATATAATTTTATGTTATACTTTTATTTGACTGGCAGCACAGTAAGTGTGTTTCCACTAGCATCACCATAAATTGAGCAATGCGCTGTGTTATGACGTTATGATGTCATTGTGGTTTGGATTTGTGTCTCCATTGTTGGAGGAGGGGGCTGGTGGGAGGTAATTGGATCACGGGGAGAAACTTCCTCCTTGCTGTTCTCATGATAGTGACTTCTCATGAGATTTGGTTGTCTAAAAGTGTGTAGCACCTCCCCCTGCTCTCTCTTCTTCCTGCTCTGACCATGTAAGACATGCCTGCTTCCCCTTCACCTTCTGCCGTGATTTTGTTTCCTGAGGCCTCCCCAGTCATGCTTCCTTTATAGCCTGTAGAACTGTGAGTCAATTAAACATTGTTTTTTCTTTATAAATTGCCCAGTCTCAGGTAGTTTTTTATAGCAATGTGAGAATGGACTAATACAGATATCTTTGTCACCAGGTGCTAGGAATTTTTCAGCTCCATTATAATCTTATGGGACCACCTCATTGTATATGCAGTCTATCATTGACTGAAACTTCATTATGGGGCGTGTGTGGCATTAAAGCACAGAAATAAATCTAAGCATCTGGCTTCTTACTGGTAAAGTGAATCTATACATTTTATTTTCACTTCCAGTTATAATTTCTAATTAACATCCTCAGATAGAATTCTGTAGCATGTATACTAGATCAAGATAAACAGTAAAATAAGGAAAAGAGTTTAAGGAAATCAAAACATTTTATAAGAACTCTAAGAGGAAAAAGGTAGTTTCTTTATTTTTCCATCATTTTTAGTATGAAAAAATAAAATAACTATAAATTCAAAGAAAAAACACGGAAATCATGTTCTTTGACAGTAATTATTTATAAACTGAAACTTACCCCTTAACTTCATGAACTTCCTAGAAATTACTGTTTCTTGGAATTTTCATTAAGAATTCCCCAAACTCAAGAACAAATTTACTGGTGGGTTTTTTTTTTTTTTTTTTGTGAGACGGAGTCTCGGTTGTTTGCCCAGGCTGGCATGCAATGGCATGATCTTGGCTCACTGCAACCTCCACCCCTGAGGTTCAAGTGATTCTCCTGCCTCAGCCTCCTGAGTAGTTGTGATTACAGACACATGCCACCATGCTCAGATAATTTTTGAGTTTTTAGTAGAGACGGAGTTTCACCACGTTGGTCAGGTTGGTCTCAAACTCCTGACCTCGTGATTTGCCCACCTTGGCCTCTCAAAGTGCTGGGACTACAGGCGTGAGTCACTGTGCCTGGCTGGTGTCTTACTGATCCACACAAATTAGGTATTGCTACCATTGAGGGGTTAAAAAAGAAGCAGGGGGAAATTTTGGGTATTGAGTGATAATATTTAAGACATTTTTAGTAATAGCAATGTAGTTGTAAAGTGTCTTGTCACTGAGATATTGATGGAATGAATAAACATTCTTTTTTTAATAAAATTATTCTGATCAGTTCTGTGGCAAATTAGCTATGGCAGGGGAATTTTGCTTAAACGAAATTACACTTGAAATATGCAAGAGATTTAAACAGAGATCTCCCCTAGTATGTGAGTAGTAAATAAGTGTTTCAAAGTCATAAGAAGAGTGTCGTGTGCCTTCTCTTTTCCTTTTATGAATTCTCTTTGACTCTTACATTTTTAGGTTCAGCCTCCTTTGTCAGGATACTTAAAAACAGGGGCACTTTGATTGGTTACTTTTTGGTGGCCAATAATAGTTATTCATATCAGGATTTAGGTTAGATGGAATTAAAGACCTCAAGTATCTCTTCCAATTTGCATAGTAAAACAGGCAAGTAAGTGTAATTTGTTCCTTGGTGAACTCTGCTCTTACTGTAACAAGAACCCAGAAAGGCACTATTTGTATCAGTTAATCCCTTGAAGGTAGCTTTTATTTTGGATAGTCACCTGGGGAGTGTAATGGGCTCAATGCTAAAGAAACATTTGAAATTTTTCTGCCAACCGAATCTCACTTGTAGTCTTTATCATGATTTCTTTGCTATAATTTTTACATTCTGAAAATAAACACATTTATAAGGCAGAATTGGGGTATCAACTAAGTTACTAAAAACCTCACCAGTGCATGTTTTCACTCAAGGCCCCTCCTCTTTTATTTTAGCTAGGGATGCAGCTTACAAGCTTGGGTGGCCTTGAGTCACCACTTTTAACTCAATTTAGTTAAAGTTTTTAATTTTATTTCTTCTTATCTCTTTGATTATCAGGGTAATATGTGCTCATTATAGAAGAGTGAAAACTACAGAAAAGTTTAAAGTGGAAAAAATATCACCAGTTGCCGTACTTACTAGAAGGCAGCTAAATGCATGACTGTTAACAGGTTATTTTGTTTACGTGATTGCTATAAAAAAGATTGAAAAGTTGCATTGTGGTTTTGCTTGTTTAACAGGAAATTGTGACATTTCTCTGTGACATTACATAAGTAAACGTTATTTTAATGTGTATATAATACTCTAATTCAAAACAGGATCCAACCCATCATTCCTTTCTCTAATTTTTGATTATTATAAATAATACTTCAGTGAATGTATTTTTGAATAAATTTTGTCCATATTTCTGATAATTTCATTAGGTACATTTCCTAGGAAGGGAACTAAGATGTCTAAAGTAATAAATATTTTAATGGTGCTCAGATCTTATCCCAAAAATGATGTACAGATTGACACTTTTGTCATCCCTACACCTTCATCATCTCTATGTGAGTCT